GACGCATCTAAACGCGTTCATTTCTAACGCGTTTCTACCACAAAAATGGTGCAAAACCGACGCGTTCAAACGCGTTAGGAACTAACGCACATAACGCGTTTTTGTAGCAGAAAATGACGCCATGGGATACGTGTGTAGTACGTTATTTTGCTTTAAAGAACAAAATAAGGAAAGGAAAAAATTTATATTTTGATCAGAATGTTCATTTATTCTATGTTTGAAAGAAACTGCGCTCACTGCGAGTTTATCCTACATTCTACATTCTACTAACTTCCCAGATTAAAAAGTTAAGAAATTTGAAAATATCCCTCTCCAATTTTTCTGTTAGTTTGAAGTACACAAGTTGTACTCTACGCTGAACTATTTCCTTAAAAGAATAGAGCAAACATTTTTGATCAAAATAAGATAGTTTCCAGCTCTGAATAATATTCTGATCAAGAGTTATGAGAGTTTTGGTGGAAGCCCTAAAACTTGCATCAGATACTAGCGCCATCATATCTCGAAAGCGACTTTCATCTTAACACCATTTTGTCGCTTCCAGATTTCTCAGTAACGAAACATCGAAGAGAGCTCGGGGAGGTCTTAAATTGAAGCTAACGCATGTGGCTAGAGGCTGGCAGAGCCTGAGTTTTGGTATTTGGTCTAAATTTGTGATTAGAAAAACATCTTTACCAAAGTTAATGAGACTTTTTTCCAATTTTGGACTTTTGACGCTGACCATTAATTTGAAAAGAAAAATATCAAAAATCCGGCTCTATTAGCTTCTATCCACATGTGTTTTCGTCAATTTAAGGCCAGCTTGAGCTCTCCACAATGTTTTGTTACAGAGAAATCTGGGAGCTTCGAACAGCCCAATTTTGGTCACTGTTGTGGTGACATCTCACAAACCATGCACGATGGAACCCAACAAAAAATTTCGTCACCATACTTTCATATGATCAGCATTTCGTAAAAGTTTGGTCAAGATCGAACTTATAGTTTCAGAGATAGGTTTCTAACGGGAGGGAAGGCCTTAAAGAACAAAATAAGGAATTTGAAAATACCCCTCTTCAATTTTTCTGTTAGTTTGAAGTACACAAGTTGTACTCTATGCTGAGCTGTTTTCTACAAAAAGGTACTGTTTCGTTTTTGAGTTATCTGGCAGCCAATATCACAGATGAATGTATGAAAATGCAGCTTTCAATACAAATGAAAGAGCCAAATGAGTACTAGAAATTAAAATAGTTCAAAGACTGCTATTATCATTCGTCAATGTATGTGTATAGAACGTTACGTGTCTTTAAAGGACAAAATAACGAAAGACAGAATTTTGTATCTATATTGACTTGTTCATTAGAGATCTAGCAAATAAGAAGATATTGCATGTGCAGAAATTTTTTGCTTCTCAGCGTGCCGATACAGAAGAAAGATAACAGAAAGATATACATATGCGAAAAAAGATATCCCCGCATTTATTAGGTCGTATTTATTCTATTTTCAAAAGAAGCAGTGCTCGCTGTAAATGTATTTTATATTCTGTCCACTTTGCGAATTAAAACTAAAATAATTAGAGAGGACCCTTTTCCACTTTTATATTAATCTGGAGTACACAAGTTGTACTATATATTCATGTGTTTTCCAGAAAAAGGTCCCTTTTAGTTTTTAAGATATAGAGCTGACGATATCGCAGATTAAATGTAATGAAATGTACAGATTTCACTTTAACTTCAGAACTTTTCTTTCGCACTTTTGTAGTACAACCACTTTCTGCGCTTTCACAAAATTTTAACTAACAGAAAAATTGGAGAGGGATATTTTCAAATTTCTTAACTTTTTAATCTGGGAAGTTTGTAGAATGTAGGATAAACTCGCAGTGAGCGCTGCTTCTTTCAAACATAGAATAAATGAACATTCTGATCAAAATATAAATTTTTTCCTTTCCTTATTTTGTTTTTTAAAGCAAAATAACGTACTACACACGTATATATGAGAGCAAACAAGAGAAATAGGATCAAGAAAAAGAAAAATAGACGCAGTGTGTTTGATGTGTGCAGTTGAATATAGTATAATATACCGTGAAAATCTAAGTGGAGTCCAAAGGACCCAAAAATTAGAAATACCCCGGCAAGGTCTTTGCACCGTACAACGTAACTCGTCACGCTGATTCCGAGTAGGTACGCTTCTCTAGAAAAAAAACATTAAATTTTGATATGAGAAACGTATCTCGCATTTGAACCAGATTATCGTGATGATACCAATGAAGAACTAGCCTGGAATTTCAAAAATGTATGCCTCTATATTCTTGGAGATTACCAACAGAAAGAGAAAATATTTTTTTTTTCTTTTTAAGCTTTATTTGTTGAAAAATGTTATGAAAATGTTTTTTTATAACACACCATATATGGGTGTAAGTTATACTCCTCTCCATCCCACTATCAGAAAAAGAATATGAATCAACGCAAATACAACACATAGAACGAGAAAAAATATCCCTAGATTTATTATTTGACATATAGTCAAATATGAGTCAGTTATTTTTATGATAGGAAACGCTATATCGTTTATAATTATATGTATTTTACATCCGTGGGAAAAGAAAGGCTGAAAATAAACACTTGTATTTTATTCTATATTTCTTTCTGAATTCCCAACACCGTAACTCTCAAATAGACAAAATATATGCGACTCTACTATCCTCAAACAATTTTTCTCTTATTATTTACAATTCATCCTATTCATACATTTCCACCATCATTAACATTGGGTTTTCTCGGTCCAATGAATTTACCGAATAGCAATTCACAAACCGGTGGTCGTCCTGCATTATTCGCATTTAAACTAGCTATTCACGATATTAACAATCGTTCAGATATTTTACCTCATACAAAATTAAACTTTGTTAATAATAATACAAATTCTGATATAGGCACAGGTATAATAGATACTTTTTGGCAATGTGTATATGGTAATGTCGTTGGTATTGTTGGTGAATACACTTCGGTAATGTCGCAGGTAAAGATTTAATGTTGGTTCTCTTTTTCGTATCTTATTCTAGCGTTTTTAGTCTGTTCAATATGTTAGTCGTTACTATAAAGTTCCACAAATATCTTATGGATCAACATCATCCGAATTCACAAAATTTCATTCAACTCTTTATCCATATTTTCTACGCACAACACCAAATCAAAATTTGGAATCTGTACTACTGACACATTTGATTGCAAGTCAAGGATGGAAAAATGTAGCATTGATTTATACAACTGATAGTCAGACGTTTTATAGTGTTCAAGTATTTCTTGCATCAACTAGGAAACTAAACATAACAGTTTTGGTATCGGTATCATTTGCCGCAGGCACTATTGATTTAACAGAACAAATGAAAATAATAAAACAGTCAAAAGCACGCATCATTCTATTCATAGGAACGATAATTGATCAACAAGCAGTGATAAATAATAGTTTGATCGAGGAACTCACTGGTGTCGGATATCAATGGATCGGCATACATGCGAGTATGTACAAGACACTATATTTAAATTCAACTGGTGAAAAGATTCAGGACTATTATGAATGGACCCAAGGATTTATCGGTTTACAAAACTTTGCCGATGTTAATTCAGATATTTATAAAGAATATGCACATCGATGGGCTACAGCACCCTATGATCCAGAAATACCGACAATTGATTCTAATTCAATTTCTGTTATAGCTAATTATGCTTATGATGCATGTTTTATGTTTGCACATGCTCTGCACCACATGATTGAAGTGTTGCATCTAAACCCAATGGAAACAGAGAATCGTGAACTCTACTTAGCAGTCTTGAAAAATGTCAGTTTTCTCGGTGTTAGCGGACGCATAAATGTTGATGAGAACGGTGATCGTCAGGCACCGTTTGAGATTGTCAATTTTCAACATGGTCAAATTGTTCACATTGGTACAATTACTGCTGATGGAGTAGTTAACTATTTCTCGAATGTCAAAGTATTGTATACTGGTGGTGTTGAAGAAAAACCGCTCGATTTGCCTATTCGTCCTATAGTCAAAATTTCTTTTTCAGCTCTTATTGGAATGATTGGAGGGAGTGTCATTTGTACATTGTTATGTTTTGCTCTAATAGTATTCACATTCTATTTTAATAAGCATCCTGTAGTAAAAGCATCGAGTCCAACATTTTTAATTTTGATGTTAATAGGTGTTATATGTTTGGCAACATCTATTATTCCACGTACTCTGGAAAATTATCGTCAGTCATCTACATTAGAATGTATCAGTGAGCTTTGGTTTGCAAATATTGGATATTCGTTAATAATTGGAACACTGCTGGTAAGTTAATTACTAACGTCTGGTTCCAGTTTCTCAGGCTTAACATTTTTTGCTCATTTTTGCTTCTTCCTATAAGCACTTACATACACAAGGCAGCTACATATTAGCTTAAGGTGTATGACGTTTCTTTTATTTCCGTAGTGCACTGAATGAGATTATTATTATCCAAATAACTTTAGAGTAATTAAATAGTTCTCTACTTTCTTAATTAGTTGAAAACGTATCGTTTATCGAAAATATTTCAAATGTCTGAACGTATTGTGAAGTATTATCTTACTGATAAATATTTATTATTTATATTATTCGGTTTAATTCTGCTATCATCAGCGATGTTAACTGGTCTTTGCTTTGGAGATCCTTTTTATCTAAAACTATCACCTTTGGATTCAATGAGTGATTATCAGTATTGTACAACGAAATATCAGTTGACCATTTATGTACCACTTATACTATCAACGCGTTTTGCTCTACTAATATTAACAACAGTTTGTGCGTTTAAAATTCGAAAAATTTCTGATTTATTTAACGAAACAAGACAGTTAGTATTTTCTGTTTATAATTTACTATTTTTATCTGTTACATTACCAGTAATTGATCTCACTATGGGTCGTGGCAAAAATTCAACAACAATTATTTATGGTGTATGCGCGTTTATTATTTGTATTCTTACCATTCTCATTATGTTTGTTCCAAAATTGATATTGATAATCACCATGAAAGATCGTAGAAGATCTAGCTCAACGACATTCATATATAACGAGAATGACTCATATAATCAGCCTACTAAAGATAGCTTGGCTACTGAACAGTCGATCAAAACAGAACAGCACACTGAAACCTCGTCAGCGAACCGAAAAATCTCCACTTACATTAATTCACGGCAACTATTCACTCGTTCATATTCACTGCCGGTGCCATATTTTCACAAGTCTAGGAGAGAGTGATATAGAAAATACTCATTTTTTAATTTGATACTCTTTTTATTCTTATCACCGACATTGATACAGAATCTTCTCTAAACAAGTTTAGCATAATATATATTACAGATAATATAAGAAATAAAAACTTTAAAATAATTGCAGCTTCTCTTATTTTCGTTTATGGCTAAAATTTTTCGGTTCAGTTTAAAAGTTTCGATGCTGACGCATTCTCGGGAATCAGCTCGTAAGTTAATGAACTTGATCAAATTATTCTGACGAAGTTATGTTATTTCAGATATCGATGAATATGTAGCCTGACTTGTTGTTGGTTATTGCACACCTGTTTCGTTAAAAAATAGAATTACATCCGTTTGGAGAAAAGCAGAAAATTCTGTTTCAAAACCTTCAATTTCCGATTGGTGCGAATGTTTCATCTGAGATTAACCTATTGGAAAAGTGGGGTTTACCTTTTCTGTGACAGTCGATCCCTTTTTTTGCTGTCTTTATTTAGAGATTCATTGGGAAATTAATTTCATGTAGTAGGAGATTTCTACAGTGACTTTGATTGTTAAATATTACATGTGAATAATTTGTTTTTTATTATTGCTGTGCGCGTGAACATGTTTGGCACAGTTCTGCTCGCAGTAGGTGGCCTTTCGCTTAAACAAAAATATGTGTCAAATAAAAATTTTGTGATCAACTGAAAATTCAGTGATGACGATTTTACCATAGCAGAGTATTGTCAGGTGTAAGAAACAAGGCTTCAGTGTATTTCATCCGAATGATGTGGGCACTCAGAATGAATTCTGTTTCGACAACCATATTCGAAAAACGCCAGTTTCTACTTGCTATTTTCGTAAACCGTCGCAACGTATCAGACCCATCTGTGAACAGTTTAATATGCAGTAACCAAACTGTAAACAGAAAACAAATTTTCTTAGATCAGAATTTATATCCGTCGTTGTGCAGGACGAAGCACCATCTGAACTGAACTGAACTGAACTGAAATTTATTTCATCAAACACATGAAACCCAGAAGAAAAGTTAAGATAAAACACATGGCTGAAGGGAAAGTAGCAAAAGTCCAGAACTTATAATTAAAAGGCTATCACCATTGTATGAGTAGAAAAAAGAAGAAAAAAACAAAACAAAACAAAAACAAACAATCATCATATGTTGAGCCTAACAAAGAAAACAGTTCTAGGCCTATGACATGAAAATAAACAAACAACTGTAATATTTTTACTTGTTCAAAAATGATCTTAGTAATCTTTTAAATTGATTTACTGTATGACAAAAGACTACCTCATCCGGTAAACTGTTCCACTCTATTGCAGTCCTGCAAAAACATGAAGACGAAACTCGGGCCTTCGTCGCAGTAATAGTTGTTACTTGTTGCGAATTTTGTCTATCCGAATTTAATCGATCTGATCTACGACTTACTATAGGTTTAATCAATTTAGTTTGAAAACTAGAAAGTGGTGATAAATCATTTTTAATTTTAGAGAAATGCAGAAGCCGAAAGTATTTCCTTCTCAAAGATAAATCGGGAAGTTTCAATTTTTCGATTAACTCCGTAACTGAACCGTCAAACTTTTTACATATTAATAGCGCTGCTAACTTTGTAACCTTATATCAACCTTATCAAGACTTGAACTAAACCAATCACTATCATATATTACACAACAGTAATCTATATTTTTAACTGAAAGGACAGAGTAAAGAACAATCATCAGCAAATAGAAGAGATAGAGCTGGTGTAGATGTAACAGATGGTAAATCGTTCACAAAAATTAAAAATAACAAAGGTCCGAGTATCGAACCTTGTGGGACGCCGGACGGTACATTGATTAGATTCGAATAAGAAGAGCCAATCTTTACTCTCTGTTTTCTCTCCGTTAGGTAACTCTCGAACCATCTGTACTCATCTTCTTTAAATCCCAGTGCAGAAAGTTTACTCAAAAGTATCTGAAAAGGAACTCTGTCGAACGCGTTCTCAAAATCAAATAGAACTAAAATCGAACCTATTCCTTTCTCTAGATTGTTAAAAATTTTTGATGTGAGATATAATAATGCGTCCGCTGTACTAGAGTTCGGACGAAAACCGAATTGTGTCGGAGAGAAAAATTTATGTTTATTTAAATAAGAATAAAGCTGGTCGTAAATAAATCTTTCATCGTTTGTAGTAAGAGATTTAACAGAAAATGATCCACCGCCGCCTATTATTGAACCTATACCGCTACGTTCTTTTGCTGTAACTTTTGCTCACCCTCTGCTTCAAGTATCTCGGCATAATGAACCGATTCAATGTTCGTATTTTAAGCCCATTATTCGACATGAAATCGCTCTTCGAACAGCAGGAAGCGAAAAACAACAACGTCAAGAACCATTTTTAATTCAACACCCTCAGGTTCATCATTTAGCTGCGAATACACAACTAAAACAACCGAATCTTAATGAAGTTTGGAATAGATTAATGTCACCACCGAAGGAGAAGCGTATTGTACTGCTAGAAAAGAACATTTATCCTCATTCACCTCTTCTTGTGACCATTCACCCATTCGATAATTTGGAGGATGATTTCGAAGAAGAAATAACTCAATATACCTGAGTCCCAAAGCTAAGAGATAAATAGCAACATCAGCTGCGCGTTCCAGAGGCTGAACGCTACCAAATGTTAAAATGATTTGTACAAGGGATGATGTGTGCTCGATAGCACATGTATCGTAGTCAACGTGTTCACGCACATGTAATAATAAAAACAATTATTTACATGTAATATTAAACAATCAAAGTCACTGTAGAAATCTCCTACTGCATGAATTTAATTTCAAAACGAATCAAAATCGAAATAAAGACAGCCAGAAAAGAGATCGACTGTCACAGAAAATGTAAACTCCTCTTTTCCAATAGTTTGATCTCAGATGAACCGTTCGTGCAAATCCGAAAACAGAAGGTTTTGAAACAGAATTTTCTGCTTTTCTTCGGAAGGGCGTAATTCCATTTTTTAACGAGTGCATGTGTACTGATGATACATTCAAAGAGGACCGACAGTCTCTTGCAAAAACATCTGATAGCTTTTTGAAACACATTCATAATTTACTGTCTGTTTAAAAAAATATTTTTTTCAATTTTTTCGCTGCGGCCACTGGTAGAGTTTTCAGTTGGTCACGCCGCCATCGATATAGTAATCGGCTAACACCTCGAAATCCAAGCAATCGACTAGCTTGAACATCGTGACAATGTTGGTTTCAGAGCAAACCGAACAACCTGTTGAAAACCTTATTAACCCGTTCATTCCCGATCTTTGTTTGAGTTAAATTTATTTTTAAGCCGTGAACCACGCAAGATATTAACAGCAAGATAGTCATTATTATCGGGTAATTTATGTAAAACATGGTTAAGATATTTTTTAGCTTTGTCATATTGACACATATCGACTAACATTGATTCTAGAGATGTTATGTCAGTTTTCTGAGGAATTTGAAATTTCATATAACTCAATATTTCGTGCAGTTCATTAATATTTTCATCACATAATTCTAGTCGAAAAATTCAATTATTTTAATCACATTCTATTTGATTTATTTTGAATATTATCACAACCATAATAGAACTTCAGCCTTCTAGCCATTCTACTCTATAAAAGAATTATACTTCCTTCAAAGATTCAATAGCTAGAGAATGCCTATTGGCCGAATGGCTGAAATCTGAATGAAACAAAATCGCGAACTCGTATTCTTACTTTGAATTGATAATAACAATAAAAGCTTATTCTCAAAAGCTGAGCGCGTAGAGAAGTAAAATAATTTTGCATTTTACAGTTCCCCACGCTGCTGCAGAAATCGTACACTCGCAGTGGCCGATTTTATCTGTATATTTAACTGTAGCAATTGTGGTATTCATTCAAACATGGACATTAGAAATCTTAATGTAACTTGTTGATTTAAACTTGTCGATAAAAAAACTATTCACTGACACATATTGACCGATACGAATTAAGAAAGATAGTAATTTTATCGGCAGACATTAATTGACCTCGATATACTTTTGTTATAGGAAAGTTATCTGTTAATGTGATACACTGATATTTCCGCGAACGACATTGCCGCAAAGACTTGTTCATTGGAAATTAGAATAAATGACCCTGGTTTTGTATTTTGTACATCATGTTTTGAAACCTGAGTGAGGTTATGTGTTGTATATCACGATGTGATGCTGTTACAGATCTACAGGTTCGCATCAGGAAAATATGTTTGGTGTGCATCTGCTTTAGGAATGAACTCTCACACTGCCTACACTCCAACCTCACATGACACACTGCCCAAAATACCCAAATGTGTACTATGAAAAATTCGTAGAAGAGTCGGGTTACGATCGTGTCACGGGTTCTACGCTGCTATAACAATCCTGATTATATACAGTGGTGGCCAAAATTATAGAGCCATCCTATTTGTCACATATTTTTCACCTGGTGTGCATTCGCAAAAGAATATCTTTAGTCAAAAATCACTCTTAGATATAGATTATCATCCGCGCTTTCAGAATATACTATGAAGAAGTTCGAATAACGCGTCATAATCGTAACATTTTTTTCACATCATTTATATCCAGAAATATTTGATGAGTTTAGCCTAATTCTCAACTTTACCAAAATTTTGGTCTGTGCGGCTTCCAGCTGGATTTTTGATCTCAAAACTCGAAATTTTTTTAAAATATTTTTATCAGGAGATAGCCAGCAGTCTACTCAGCCGAATGGTATGTCTCCCAAAAGAAATAGTTGAAAGTTTAGGTGAAAATCGCGAGAAATCTCTAGGCAGCCCTATAATTCTGGCCAGCTAAAAATGGCCACTTATTTAAAAAAAATTGTTTACGATTATGATGCGTTATTCGAACTTCTGCATAGTATATTCTGAAAGCGCGGATGATAATCTATATCTGAGAGTGATTTTTGACTAAAGATATTCTTTTGCGAATGCACACCAGGTGAAAAATGCGTGACAAGTAGGGTGGCTCTGTAATTTTGGCCACCACTGTGC